TTAACCTTATACAGGCTCTCTACTCAAACACTACTGGTCGAGTGAGAGGAAATGGAGAACTGTCATCGGAATCGATTACTTCAGGTGGTGTTCGTCAGTGCTGTCCTCTCTGCATTCTTATTCAACTTTGTCATAGACATGCTTTTAGAGACAAAACTTTCCTTAGTTATTTTCAGGAATTGAAATTTTACTGGGAGACTCGCTTATTGACTTAGAAATATGCCGGTGACTTAGTTCTATTTGATGAAGACGCAGATGAAATTTAGTCTTCTAAACACCTTACGCAAAAATGTAAGCATGCTTGAAATTCGATTCTCCCTCTCGAAATGCAAAATGTTGTCTCAGTACTGGCTTGCATCGGCACCTGAACTGGTGATGAGTTAAGTAGTTGAGCCTCTTGACCGCTTCTCCTATCTTGTGAGTCTCATCAGTCCTGATAGCCTAGTGTCTGATGAAATCTCAGCACGGAAACGGAAGGCTCGATTAGCTTTTGCCAACTTACGTCACTTATGGAGTAGGAGAGGTATGTGTCTACCAATCAAAGGACAGGTTTACTGGTAAGAGTAGAGGATATTCGTAGGTTTCTAGTATTCAATCATAGGTGTCTTCGAAGCATTGCTCGTATATGCTGGTACAATCCAGTAAATAATGCTAAATTTTAGTAAACGGGTACTAGGTAAGGATGGCAGATCAATAGATGAATTTGTGAAACTACATCAGCTGAGGTGGTTGGGACATGTGTTACATATGCCGAAACACCGACTACCTCGACGAGCAGTTTTTGTAGTGTTGGGGTAGGCTGGATGGAAGCTAAGGGAGACTCTGTGGATCGTGAGGTTCTGTGGCAGTGTCTGTCATTGAAAGGTGTACCAAATAAGTACATTCACCTCATACAAGCTCTCTACTGAAACACCACTGGTCGAGTGAGAGCTTATGGCGAACTGTCACCGGAATTCTCAACTTCAAGTGGTGTCCGTCAGGGATGTCCACTCTCTCCATTCTTGTTTAATTTTATCATAGACATGCTCCTAGAAATTACCTTATCCTCGTCTGAACTTTCTGGAGTAGACCTTTTACCGGGTGGCTCGCTTATTGACTTAGAATATGCCGATGACATTGTCCTACTTGGTGAAGACGCTGACAAAATGCAGAGTCTTCTGACTACCCTAAGCAACAATGCAAGCATGTTCGGGATGCGGTTTTCCCCCTCAAAATGCAAAATGTTGCTTCAAGATTGGGTTGCATCAATAGATGAAGTGGTGAAACTTCATCAGTTGAGGTGGTTGGGACACGTGTTGCGTATGCCTAACCACCGACTGCCTCGTCGAGCTTTGTTTTGTGGTGTAGGAATAGGTTGAAATAAAGCTAGGGGCGGCCAAACCAAAACATGGCATAAATCCATGAAGTCATTGACGAGTGGACTTAGCCATGTTGGTAATTGTCGACTACCTGGTTGGGGTCCGCGAGATGATAATAAACGATGGCTAGAGACCTTTAATGACATGGCTCAAAATCGTTCGCAATGGCGCCAGTGCATTTATTCTTTGTGTTCTCTCAAATCCTAATCTTCTGGGTTCTTCAACACCTCTAGCTTTTACTTTCTAAACTTATCTCATTGAATCATACTTCGTGAATAATATCTTCTAATTCTAACGTCTACGATTACTTCTGAAACCTTTACTACCTCTTCTACTATTGGATTTGAATTGACAATTATATCTCTGTGCTGATGTGGTATGGCGACATGAACTGATGTACTTACGTACGAAGTTCTACGTTGCAACTGACTGACTGAACTGACCATACCGAAACGGCGCAAATCCATGAAGTCACTGATAAGTTCGCTGAGCCTCGTTAGGGCCCGCGTGACAATAGTAACTGATGGTTAGAGACTTTGAATGATATAGCTGAAAACCGTTTGCAGTAGCCCAGGTGCATCCATTCTCTGTGTTCTCTCAAATTTCAATCTTCCGAACTCCTCACCATCCGTATCTCTCTCTTGTTTTAGATTTTTTTTACTGGATTATACTTGAATAATATCTTCGATCCCTAATCTTTTCCATTACCACTAATAATTCTACTACATCTACTATTATGGGATTTGAATTGCAAATTGCGTTTCTGTGCTAATGTGGTATGGCAACTTAAACTGATATACATACATACAGAGTTTTACGTTGTTGCTGACTGACTGATCATAAATGTAAATCCTTCTTTAGTTGTTTTGATTGAGTTTCTGTTTTGTGGAAAAATTATCTAACATTCAACAAGTTATCGTTTTCTGTATCTATTTTATGATTAGACTTTTAAAGTTATTGATATGTTTCAAAGTAAACACTGTTGAATAACTTCATTTTGTTTATTGTAATGATTATGAAATGTTAATCTTTTCGTCATTTTGTAAACATTTAAAACTGTCTGCAACTTGATTTTAATATGCTAAAAGAGATCGATACTTTATTTAAAAGATTCTTTCCAAGTTTGAAAGTGTTTTACAATATAATTTGCCTATATTTTAACAGCAATCAAAGGTGGAGTGACTCTAGAAAACTTTTAAGTTGTTTTAAAATCTAGATTTTAGTATCCAATAATTATTTTGTGATTCCTTTTAAAGAGCTTGACTTCAGTGTACACGTTAGTCATCTAATTACCATCTTAAATCATATCGTTTGATCTCATTTGTTTATATTATTGTTAAACTAACGTGACTTATAGTTGAAAAGCTTCGCGTGGTTAAACGAAGACATGGTCCTCATTGAAAAATCTAGTGATTAGTCGAATGAACTATACCGGTGACTCATATGAGACCATTTCGATGTTAGAGGTCATTGGTTATAATTGGCCTCTTACAGTTGCTCACTAATTAAGTTCACTTGTTATCTATTCACCCCTAGCCAAACACACTGTCATTCCTTTAATGATTATATCTTCACTACTGTCAACCCTATCATCATTTATCTGCTTGATATATTACTTCTTGATTGCTAAATGCGAGATACATAATTTTACAAAATAATAAAAAGCACTTGTAAGAAAAGCATTTCGGTAATCTTGAATCTTCGAGGATTTTCAGTCTGTTTGAATTTATGTATGTAAACAATTAAAAACAATGGAGTTTGATAAAAATGCATGGTTTTGTTTCGTGTTTTTAAAAAGTAAATAAACGCTTTAATTTTAATGCTAAATCCAATCAAATTTCAGTTACGTTTGTTATTTACTGCTAGCGATGTATGAAAATTTCACCGAAAATTGCAACTACTTTACCTAAACTTCGTGATACATCTAATATGTTTTATTAGTAATAATAAGAATGAGTATTACTAGCGCCGTTTACGATAAACCGTAACCATAAACCACTCCCTCTTTCTTGTTTAACTGCCGATAATCCTATAGGGAGAGTCAAATATTGAGTAAAAAATTTATTAGACTGCAGAACAACCACATGAATTTTAGTAACAGTAATTATAATCTTATTGCATAGAGTTTGTGTTACAAATAATATCACAAAATATTATTCACATCTTTGATGCTTTCTGTCAGTTTATCAATATTATCTACTCATTTTTTTCTTTAGGAATTACGTGATGTGACCCATAATGTCCATTATGAAAATTATCGAAATGCCAAACTTTCAGGTATCGCTATGGAGAGCCACTTTCAAACACGTGATGGTAAAGATCCAATGGCTCTCATGGAAGCTGAAAAGAAAGAACATGAAGCGAAAATGCGTAAAATGGAAGCAGAAATGGAGGCTGTATTCGATCAAAAAGTAAGTCAAGTTTAAATGTGATCTTTTTTTATGATTTTATACCCAAGTTAAAATTGTTTCAAATAAACACTTTACTTTAATATGATATATATTATATGATGTTATCAAACAAATGCAGATAGATTTTTATGTGCACAAGTAATCTGTAATGACAATCAAAGTATGCTCAATACTGATTTTATACTAAAGTTGATTGAACAAAGTATAATTACCAATGGCTAGTAGATTAGTATGATAGTAATGTTACCTACTGTGTACGTGATTTTAAGTCGTCAATATTAAAATAGTTTTTTTTCACTTGTAATTTATTTCACTTGACTCTTAATGTTTAATAATTTTTGTATGGTAATCTCTGTAAATTGAAACAATGTCAGAAGTTGCAATACCTGTGTATGTTGATGTTGAACTCACAATTTTATTTCGTTGTAAATGTTCTGTTATTATTAATATTCATTGTAAATATTTTAACAAGAAGGTCATTATTTGTTTTGTTACTTTCATTAATGAAATGTATTGTAACAGATTTTCAATTAGAATTTTAATTTACACTGCAACCAATAATTAAAACAGTATCAATCCATACAAAAATAAATCCTTTTTAAACCCTTGAACTTTAAATGAAGACTATATCACATTGGTACTATTGTTTTTATTACAGACTGACATCATTTGGCAAACAATAGAATACTGAATATCTGTTTGATTCCTTTTCCTGACTCGACAAGACGTTCTGTGTTTTATAGGTTACAGTCTAGTCCTAAACTGATATAGTTAGTCTATGAACCAACTTAGTATAATAATCCTGTTTAACCTACTATTTATGGTGAACTGTTTAGTGTTACTTAAATTCGTCCGAAGTTATTCACTGATCTCCGTTTTTCCTGTATTACATTGTGTACACGAATGAACATTTCACTTACAATCATGAACCAACCTTGGTCGTTTGACGTCCTAACCATGAAGCTGGATGAACGTAACTCATTTATTATTATTAGTTTGCAAGACACTTTAAAAGTACTGCTGTTATATTTATATGATCGGCATCAAATAAGTTTCTCTTGTCTCGGTTTCTATTAATTAAATCTTCCCATTTCCTTCATCATTGTCTCAACTTCTGTCACGTGAATATTCTTTTTGTTTGTATGCTATAACTGATCACGCATAAAAAAGGTGTTGTTTATCAAACAGATCTTTTTATATTTCGTCCAGTACAGTTAGGAGCATTATTTGGTAAGTCTCATTATTCTGTACTCTCTACTAACACAATCCTGTCTTGAAATAATCTTTTTTCTTATGATTTAACAACAATATATAATTATTGAGTTTTCTAAAACTATATATGTATTTGCTAATGTTGCTAACTATTTCAAGACCCTTTTCTTTATTTCCTGATTTCGTTTTACGGTAACATTTATATGTAGTTTTTAACGTTTTTCTGTATATTCCTGAGTGTATTAAATAGAATTTAAACAGTAGTTATTTTCATAACACGACTTGACTTTTTCGGATAATCCACATCTTTAGCATTTAATTTCATTCTGAAATTTTATATACGCTTAAATTCAATGTTATCACGTATATTTTTGACAGGTTGAAGAGAAAAATCAGAAACTTCGCGAACTAGAATCTGATTTAATGCGACGTGTAGAACAAATGAGAGAACAATTGAAAGCCCAAGAATTAGAACAAGAAGCTGCTCGTCGTGCATTTGAATTAGAACGTCAGAATTGGGAAGAGAATTGGCGTGAATGGGATATTGGTGCAGAGATCGGAACAAATGGTCCAACATTAGGCCTTGGCGAAAGAGTTATGAATGAGGTAATCAAAGAACGTGCTAAAACTGAAAAGAAAAAGAAAGGACTTTTCTAACTTAAAATTATCCTTTAACTGGCAAAAGAAACTAAGTTTATTTTGTTCTCCAGTGGAATTATATTTCTTCTTGCGAAGCCAAACCAACTGGAAATGGTTCCAGTTTACCATTTATGGTAATTGTGCATTTCTCTTTATAATGATTTTTTCATGTTTCAAAATCAGGTTTTTTTTTTGATAATCCTCACTTGCATTTAGACCATCGAGTAATTTTCCTTATCTTCGTTGCTAGTCTTGTTTTTTCTGTTGTTATTTTTTTTTCTGTCTCTCGAGTTTTCTTTTCGTCGTTGTTACAGTTTTCGTATTCTACTAGATATTTCAATTTTATCATTGTTGTCTTTATTTCTTTTCCATGAACCGAGTGAAAAAGACTCCCCATGATGAGCATATTGCTATTATATCATCCAGTAAAATTCTCACTAATATTAACATAATGTTATTCATCAATATGAATGTCGTTCACTAATAGGTATCAATTATTTGTGACCTCGATTTATAATTGCTTTCTGTTTTATAATTATTAGACTTTATTTGAATTAGTCATTATTAATTATGTGTTTTTCTAATGATAAACGTTAAGTCAAAGGATGTTATTATATGAACAAACTGGTATGATCATGTATCTATCGAATTATATTTATCTTACATTTTTTACGAATTTGTTGTAATCGTAAGAAAATATATGTTAACCTCTAAGTCAAATAGTAATAGTCCTTTTATTGCCACAAATTTAATTTCGATATATATATATATATATATATATATATATATATATATATATATATTTGCTTTACTTCAGTTTTTCATTTGTTAATCAAAATTCACATGCTTTATTGTATCCATTTTGAAGGGTATGCGAACAATCTATATTTTATAAATATAAGCATCAATATATTGATTCCTTGTTTTCATGTCGGTGGTTAGTGTCTAAATCAGTATAACCACAATGCTAGAAACATTTGAGATTGGAAGTACGATTAACAGGCTACATTCTGAACTACTAAGTGACAAAGTTATAACCCTAGTAGTTGAGTAAACTCATTTGAGTAATATTCTGTTAATTTAATAGATGCCACTTTTTACGTATGTGGCGACTTGTTAGATAATTGAGCAGAAGGATTTATTATCGTCGAATAATGTTATTCAGTCTGCACATTATTATTCCGTATGTTCATGATACACTCTAGCTTAATGAGGCAAATCGACGTAAGTCCCCCTGGTCTTTATGAAGTTGAGAAAGCGTTAGGAAATCTAAAGCGAAGTAGAGCAGCAGGTCCTGATAGTCTGACCCCTGAGATATTTAAGGATGGTGGTCCAGTTTTAGCAGCTAGGTTGACTGAGATCTTAGGTAGAATCTGGGAACTGGACGTAATCCCATCCGACTGGTCTCAATCACTGATTGTCCCAATCTATAAGAAAGGACAAAAGTCTTCTTGTGACAATCACAGGGGAATAAGTCTAACTAATATAGTTTCTAAATTGTTAGCCTCGATTATACTTAGACGTCTAACTAGAGCTCGTGAAGAGCAGACTAGAGGAAACCAGGCAGACTGGTTTTCGACCTGGACGTGGTTGGATAGACCACATTTTCACACTACGACAGTTCCTGGAACACAGACACACATTTAGGCGTCCTACAATAGTTGTTTTCCTGGACCTTAAGGCGGCATTTGACTCAGTGGATCGTGAGGTCAGTAAAATATCCACTTCGTAAAGTGACAAGTTTAACAGGGGACTTTGAAAGACAGATGGCTTGTAAATAACGTAGATAACGTATTGATGACTGAATCCCCGTAATATGTAAATTTGCAGAGCAAAAATAATTTCAGTACACAATGACTGACTGAAGGAACAAAGTTAGGTTTTAGTCCCAATCTGTATGACAACGACATACCTTAATATTTGGAATGGAGTGAGAGACGAAACAAACATAGCAACTATACCTCACATAAATGGAAATAAGAAGCCAGAGGTGATGGTGAAGCTGAAATAGATACAACGTTAGTTTATTTATAGCATTTACATGAGAAGCTTCTGGATAGAAATTCACGTGATCGACTGGATTAGATTTAGACAATCAGCACGCAGCTAACAGTACGAGAATTTTCTACCCTGTTCTCCAAGAATCGATCACGCGCTGACTGGATAGGAATTTAGCCTATCAGCGCGCAGCCGACGCAGTCATGCTTTATGCCATCTATGTCCCCCTAACACCTCCCCTTTGAGCAGATTCGTAGGATCTGGTGCTAGGGTTCAACTTCAATCGAGTTACTGGCTTGTACTTTCGATTAGTCCATGTTCTCGGCAATAAGGAAGTTGTGTCACTCTTCGCTAGCACAGAAACTGACTTGTGTGTTCCAGGCGTTTTGATTTCGAAGGTGTCCAGCAGAACGTCAAGGGTTATTTGATGCCGAGTCCCGTTGCTGGCTATCGAAGTTGCTTTCATTTGGTTAGCATGACTTACCCAAACTTCTGAGCCAACTGGCACCTCATTAATCACATTCCCTTTCTTTTTCAATATCCGACCAGCTGTTCATGCAGGCTGTTTTCCACGATAGTCCATAGCAAGTAATTTTTGACCCACTGTGAACGATCGTCTTTTTGCCCCAAGGTGTCGACTGAACTGCTTCTCCATCGACAGGTTTCGTTGAGGCTCAAGAGCTGGTGTAGGACGAATGACATCAAAATGTGTTCATATTTTTCTGCCAAGTAGAGCTTCTGCAGGTAAGACTCCGTTAATCGTCTGAGGGTTTCGGTGTAGAGCGATAAATAAGCAGGAACCTCTCTAACATCTCATCAATGGTCCCCTCCCCTTTAGATTTTTTAGAGCAATTTTAAATGCGCTCACAAAGCGTTCTACTTGATCAACACCCTCGACTACTTCACTCCCTATCACTAGTTCAGGTGCCGATGCAACCCAGTCTTGTAGCAACACTTTGCATTTCGAGGGTGAGAACCGCATCCCGAACATGCTCACATTGTTGCTCATGGTGGTCAGAAGACTCTGCATTTTGTCATCGTCTGCACCGAATAGAACTATGTCTTCGGCATATTCTAGATCAGTAAGCGACTTTCCTGGTAGAAGGTCAACCCCTGGAAAATCTGACGAGCTTAATGTTAACTCTAAGAGGATGTCTACGACATAGTTAAACAAGAATGGAGAGAGTGGACAGCCCTGAAGGACACCATTTGAAGTAAAGAATCCCGACGACAGTTCACAATAGGCTCTCACTCTACCAGTGGTGTTCGAGTAGAGAGCTTGTATAAGGTTAATGTACTTTGGTACACCTTTCAATGACAGACACTGCCACAGAACCTCACGATCCACAGAGTCAAATGCCGCCTTAAGGTCCAGGAAAACAACTATTGTAGGACGCCTAAATGTGTGTCTGTGTTCCAGGAACTGTCGTAGTGTGAAAATGTGGTCTATCCAACCACGTCCAGGTCGAAAACCAGTCTGCCTGGTTTCCTCTAGTCTGCTCTTCACGAGCTCTAGTTAGACGTCTAAGTATAATCGA